CCAATGAATATTACTACTATATGAGCACCTTAGTGTTGATCAGTTAGTGCCAATTTGATGGATAACCCAAGTGCCCTTCAATCCATCAGTAGATTAATAAAATATTGTATACATTTCCTGGGAATTTTTATAATGGCTGGGGGTTTAATTTTGCCAAATACTTTCTTCTTCATCTATTAAGAATGTCACATCATTTTTCTTTATTGTTTCTAATACAGTTTATTACATTGATTGATCTTCTAATGTTGAAACAACATTACATTTTCAAGATAAACTTCACTTCATCTTTTGCATGTTCTTTTTAAAATATATGTATTGCTTTATGTGATTTGCTGATATTGTGATGAGGATTTTTGCACCTCTGTCCTTGAGAGATATTTGTCTGTAGGATATTTCCTCCTTGTAATATCTTTGTAATGTATTGTTACCAGGGTAAGACAAGCCTTATAAAATGAGTTGGGAGGTGTTCCCTTGTCTCCTATTTTCTGGACAAGTTTGTATAGAGTTTGTACTATTTCATCTTTAAATGTTTGGTATAATTTGCCAATGAAGTCATGTGGGCCTAAAGTTTTCTTTGTGTGCGGTTTTTAAGGGATATATTTTAAAATTTATTTCCTTTAATAAACACTAGCTATTCTAGTTATTTAGTTCTTCTTATGTAAGCTTTGATATTTTCCCTAGTTGTTCATATGTCCTTATTATACTTTTTAATGTAGGTATGATCTGTAGTGATGCCTATTTTTATATTCCTGATATTGTCAGTTTGTGTTTTCTGTCTTCATCTTGATTAGCCTGTCTAGAGGTTATTTGATTTTATTTATTTTCTCAAAGAGTCAGGTTTTCACTTCATTGATTTTTTAAATTGTCTGTTTTCCATTTTACTGATTTATGCTCTTACTATTTCCTTTCTTCTGCTAGCTTTAGGTTTAATTTGTTCTTCTCTTACTAGTTTCTTAAGGTGAAAGCTTAGATCATTGATTTAAGAACTTTTCTCATTTCTAATATGAGAATTTACTACTGTAAATTTTGCTCTAAATACTACTTTCACTGTGTCACACAAATGTTGGTAAGTGCATGTTCATTTTCATTCAGTTCTAAGTATTTACTAATTTCCTCCATGACTTCTTCTTTGACCCATATTTTATTTATAAGTGTGTTGTTTAAGTTCCTGGTATTTGAAGATTTTTCCAGACATCTTTCGTTATTGGTATTTCGCTTAATTCCATCGTGGTTACAGAACATACTTTGCATGACTTCAATTCTTTTAAATTTGCTGAGGTTTGTTTTATGGCCTAAAATATCTTGAATGTTCCATATGCGCTTAAAAAGAATGTGTGTTCTGCTGTTCCGGCATGAGGTGCTCTATAGACATCAATTAGGTCAAGTTGGTTGATAGCACTGTTCAGGTCTTTTATACTCTTACTCATTCATTCTCTAATTTTTCTATCAATTACCAAGAAAAGAGTGTTGAAGTATCTAAATATAATTGTGGTTTTGTCTATTTCTCCCTTCAGTTCTACCACTTTATGTTTTATGCATGTGAAGATCTGTTATTAGGTACACACATTGTATCTTTGCAGTAAACTGGCTCTTTATCATTATGCAATGTTCTTTTTCTTATTTTGAAGTCTTTGATATCAATCAACCTAATTCAGCTTTTTTTTGATTAGTGTTTTCATAGTATGTTTTTCTATCCTTTTACTTTTAGCCTACCTATGCCTTTATATTTAAAGTGGGTTCCTTATAAACAGCATTTATTCAGGTCTTACTTTTTTATCTAATCAGCCAATCTTTCTCATTTAGCTTGCGTGGTTGGACCTGCACTGTACAGTAAGGTAGCCCCTGACCACATGTAACTTTGGAGATCTTGAAATATAGCTGGTCTGAATTGAGATGTGTGGTAAGTATAAAATACAGATGGAATTTTAAAGACTTTGTATAAAACAGAATGTAAAGTATTTCATTAGTTTTGTATTTATTATATTTTAAAATGTTTTGCATAGATCCTGTTAAATGACATATATTATTAAAATTAGTTTCATCTGTTTTTTATTTTTTAATGTGACCACTAGAAAATTTAAAATTACTTACCTTGCTTGCATTGTATTTCTATTGGACAGCACTGGTTTAGACCACTTTCATTTAATTTCACCGTGGATATAGTTTATTTAAAATCTACCATCTTGCTGATGGTTTTCTATTTGTCCTATTTGTTCTTTTT